TCACGATGGAGGGAAGACTAGAGTCCGAGGAGGCCCAGGCGAGGGAGGCAACGATGATGCGATGTGGGAGAGGTGAAGATGCACGTGCGGATGAGGGCCTCGATGTGAGTTCTACTTGCTCATCGGCGGGGAGCGTTTGTAGGAAACGTGACTTCATCGGCACTGATTGTCACGCTACACTACCGTGCACAGCACGGGAATGATCACTTAGGGATAGCACCGTATGAATGCGGAGCGCTCGCCTCCAGAAAGCTGGATGGATTGCCTTGTTCCTGGGACACAGTTGGAGGATGGGCGAATTTATCATATCGGGAGTTCATCAGGAGGCACAGTCGCCATCAGGAAAAACAAACCATGACATGATCCACTTCTTCTGTCTTCACGATTATCAGCCTCTATATTTTGATCTTTATATCTACATCAGTCTTCCATTGTTGCTCTCTTGTCGTCTCGCGATGACGCCCTACTCAACCCCGCACTCTCCCGTACCTCGACACTGCCTCCTGTAAGCTCCGCAGCAGCATGTCCTCTCGTCCTTGGATACGGATTGCTAGGCTCCGGGGTCTCGGTTCCAAGATGAAGCCAGTCGGAAGCGATATCCATCTCGGCTCGATCACGTCGAGCTGTATGCCATCAGCAAGCCCCCGGCCCCTCTCTCTCACTTGGTCTTCGTCGTCTGTGTCCTCCGACGAAGATTCCGTTGAGCAATCGCTCTCGCCATCTCCTACTGATTTGGACGACGAGGTCGGGGATGGGCTTCGGCCGACAGGGAACAGCACATGCTGCCACGACAGCCCGCCTTGACCCACTTGCCTGTTACGCGGTATCCAAGGCCCTGGTATGACGTGACCGAAGGCCGTGGTGTAGCGTGACTTGCTGATAAGGGGTCGGTCGCATGAGATATCTTTACTACATACCTCGGCATGGTCACGGAGAAGCTGGGCCGTCCCCCTCCCCATGCCCCTTTACTTATTTCCTGCCCCCTTGTGCTCGGCCGCACACACACACATCAAGGCACCGCAGGATGGCACTCGAGACTGAGATCGCACTGGAGCTCAAGACGGAAGGCAGCCAGGAGCCCGAGGAGGCCCTGGCGTGGGAGGCCGCGCTCTTCCCGAGGGGCCGCCCGCAGGCGTCCAAGGTCGCGACAGGAAAGGAGGCAGCGGCGTTGGCGGAGAGGGACGAGGAAGGAGAGGCGTGGGGGATCTCGTATCCGACGGGCTTCAAGCTTGAGGCGAGGCAGAGGAGCCGGGCGATCAGAGGGACGGGGAAGGAGGGGATGCTGCTGAGGTCGATCGAGGAGGCGATGAGGAGGCAGTCGCTGAGGGGGAGGAAGGGGGAGAAGAAGAATGGGGAGGGGGAGATGTAAGACTGATGTAGATATAGAGATGTAAATAAAGAGGCTGATCATCATCAAGACAGAAGAAGTGACTCTTGTCATGGTTTGTGCGCTCCGCATTCATACGGTGCTATCCCTAAGTGATCATTCCCGTGCTGTGCACGGTGGTGTAGCGTGACAATCAGTGCCGATGAAGTCACGTTTCCTACAAACGCTCCCCGCCGATGAGCAAGTAGAACTCACATCGAGGCCCTCATCCGCACGTGCATCTTCACCTCTCCCACATCGCATCATCGTTGCCTCCCTCGCCTGGGCCTCCTCGGACTCTAGTCTTCCCTCCATCGTGAGCTCGAAGCATCTTCTTTCTGGCTGGCATGCCACGGTCGTTGGAGCGAGGTGCATTGGCGGGCACGTGTAGCATGAGCTTGAGATAGACTCTAGGGTCTGATGCGATACAAGCTTGGATCTCATACCTATCTCGAAACAAAGACCATCGCGCTATGCTCATGTCGTGACAAACTCAACAAAATCAGTCGGTCTCAGGTTTCGTGCTCTTGTATTGACAAGCAAAATGACATGTGGGGGGGGCACCTCCTTGACGTCAGCTGCAAGCCTTGCTCTCTTGTCGTCTCGCGATGACGCCCTACTCAACCCCGCACTCTCCCGTACCTCGACACTGCCTCCTGTAAGCTCCGCAGCAGCATGTCCTCTCGTCCTTGGATACGGATTGCTAGGCTCCGGGGTCTCGGTTCCAAGATGAAGCAAGTCGGAAGCGATATCCATCTCGGCTCGATCACGTCGAGCTGTATGCCATCAGCAAGCCCCCGGCCCCTCTCTCTCACTTGGTCTTCGTCGTCTGTGTCCTCCGACGAAGATTCCGTTGAGCAATCGCTCTCGCCATCTCCTACTGATTTGGACGACGAGGTCGGGGATGGGCTTCGGCCGACAGGGAACAGCACATGCTGCCACGACAGCCCGCCTTGCAGCTCGTCTGGAGGAACGGGGTCGGACGCAAGAGCAAGGATGTTGGACATGCTCACCCCTGGCCAACGAGTGTCGGGAGGATATCCGGGGCAGCAAGGTTTTTGGATTCGGGAGGGGGGTCGAAAGCCAGCTCGCCTCAGTCAAGCGATAGCTACCCAACACAAGGCAGCAAAGCCGTCCTACACTTCACGACCCACTTGCCTGTTACGCGGTATCCAAGGCCCTGGTATGACGTGACCGAAGGCCGTGGTGTAGCGTGACTTGCTGATAAGGGGTCGGTCGCATGAGATATCTTTACTACATACCTCGGCATGGTCACGGAGAAGCTGGGCCGTCCCCCTCCCCATGCCCCTTTACTTATTTCCTGCCCCCTTGTGCTCGGCCGCACACACACACACATCAAGGCAAGCAGGATGGCACTCGAGACTGAGATCGCACTGGAGCTCAAGACGGAAGGCAGCCAGGAGCCCGAGGAGGCCCTGGCGTGGGAGGCCGCGCTCTTCCCGAGGGGCCGCCCGCAGGCGTCCAAGGTCGCGACAGGAAAGGAGGCAGCGGCGTTGGCGGAGAGGGACGAGGAAGGAGAGGCGTGGGGGATCTCGTATCCGACGGGCTTCAAGCTTGAGGCGAGGCAGAGGAGCCGGGCGATCAGAGGGACGGGGAAGGAGGGGATGCTGCTGAGGTCGATCGAGGAGGCGATGAGGAGGCAGTCGCTGAGGAGCGGCCGGGGGGCTCAAGAGTGAAGGAGGAAGGGGGAGAAGAAGAATGGGGAGGGGGAGATGTAAGACTGATGTAGATATAGAGATGTAAATAAAGAGGCTGATCATCATCAAGACAGAAGAAGTGACTCTTGTCATGGTTTGTGCGCTCCGCATTCATACGGTGCTATCCCTAAGTGATCATTCCCGTGCTGTGCACGGTGGTGTAGCACGACAATCAGTGCCGATGAAGTCACGTTTCCTACAAACGCTCCCCGCCGATGAGCAAGTAGAACTCACATCGAGGCCCTCATCCGCACGTGCATCTTCACCTCTCCCACATCGCATCATCGTTGCCTCCCTCGCCTGGGCCTCCTGGGACTCTAGTCTTCCCTTCATCGTGAGCTCGAAGCATCTTCTTTCTGGCTGGCATGCCACGGTCGTTGGAGCGAGGTGCATTGGCGGGCACGTGTAGCATGAGCTTGAGATAGACTCTAGGGTCTGATGCGATACAAGCTTGGATCTCATACCTATCTCGAAACAAAGACCATCGCGCTATGCTCATGTCGTGACAAACTCAACAAAATCAGTCGATCTCAGGTTTCGTGCTCTTGTATTGACAAGCAAAATGACATGTGGGGGGGCACCTCCTTGATGTCAGCTGCAAGCCTTGCTCTCTTGTCGTCTCGCGATGACGCCCTACTCAACCCCGCACTCTCCCGTACCTCGACACTGCCTCCTGTAAGCTCCGCAGCAGCATGTCCTCTCGTCCTTGGGTACGGATTGCTAGGCTCCGGGGTCTCGGTTCCAAGATGAAGCAAGTCGGAAGCGATATCCATCTCGGCTCGATCACGTCGAGCTGTATGCCATCAGCAAGCCCCCGGCCCCTCTCTCTCACTTGGTCTTCGTCGTCTGTGTCCTCCGACGAAGATTCCGTTGAGCAATCGCTCTCGCCCTCTCCTACTGATTTGGACGACGAGGTCGGGGATGGGCTTCGGCCGACAGGGAACAGCACATGCTGCCACGACAGCCCGCCTTGCAGCTCGTCTGAAGGAACGGGGTCGGACGCAAGAGCAAGGATGTTAGACATGCTCACCCCTGGCCAACGAGTGTCGGGAGGATATCCGGGGCAGCAAGGTTTTTGGATTCGGGAGGGGGGTCGAAAGCCAGCTCGCCTCAGTCAAGCGATAGCTACCCAACACAAGGCAGCAAAGCCGTCCTACACTTCACGACCCACTTGCCTGTTACGCGGTATCCAAGGCCCTGGTATGACGTGACCGAAGGCCGTGGTGTAGCGTGACTTGCTGATAAGGGGTCGGTCGCATGAGATATCTTTACTACATACCTCGGCATGGTCACGGAGAAGCTGGGCCGTCCCCCTCCCCATGCCCCTTTACTTATTTCCTGCCCCCTTGTGCTCGGCCGCACACACACACACATCAAGGCAAGCAGGATGGCACTCGAGACTGAGATCGCACTGGAGCTCAAGACGGAAGGCAGCCAGGAGCCCGAGGAGGCCCTGGCGTGGGAGGCCGCGCTCTTCCCGAGGGGCCGCCCGCAGGCGTCCAAGGTCGCGACAGGAAAGGAGGCAGCGGCGTTGGCGGAGAGGGACGAGGAAGGAGAGGCGTGGGGGATCTCGTATCCGACGGGCTTCAAGCTTGAGGCGAGGCAGAGGAGCCGGGCGATCAGAGGGACGGGGAAGGAGGGGATGCTGTTGAGGTCGATCGAGGAGGCGATGAGGAGGCAGTCGCTGAGGAGCGGCCGGGGGGCTCAAGAGTGAAGGAGGAAGGGGGAGAAGAAGAATGGGGAGGGGGAGATGTAAGACTGATGTAGATATAGAGATGTAAATAAATGGTCACTGGACCCGCTCACTGGGAGCTGCTTCTGAGGGCTCGCGCTGTGGATACCCAGGTGAAGAAAGTAAGGAAGATGTCTGTCGTGAACCGAGCCATGTGCTGCAGTCTTTCGGGATTGTTTGTTCCCCAGCAAGGGACGAGTCTGCAGACTACATCGCCTGGGGACACTCGATGATTGTCGACCTATGGGGAGAAAAGGTCCTCTTCCCCTCCAGACTTTGTTCAGTGGGGTAATCCGAATGGCCAGCTCGGTGAACTGCAGGAGAAAGAAGACATCTTGATGGTAGACTTGGATCTTACGCAGGTTGATTGGGAGGGGACCATGTTGTTGCTGCAAACGTTATGCTTGCCAAGGTGGTTTCTCGCCGCCAAAACATGCCATATTGGTTGCAGAGGCGACAGGATATCTACAAGGTGACAAGTGCAGCTGAAGGAGGAGTGATGATGATGCTTTCGCTTCAGTTGTCTTCTCCGTTTATGCCGGAAAAGAAGCCAAGCCCGGACAAGTGAGCGAGTCAGGATCACATTTGGGGATCTTCGATTTATTGATATCATCCACTGGCTCTTGAGCAAAATCTACATAAGAAAAACGAGCAACTTCCTCCATCAGACTTGATCCTCACCGGATCTCTACAGCATCCACTACAGCCTTAGAAACATCTCTGTCATGATCAACCGTTACGATATCATGCTTTGAGAAACACTTGTCGCCAAGCAGTTGGCTCACTCTCCAGCCTCCGTCTCGAAGAAGGAGCCACCATGCTTGTGCAGAGCCTCCTCCAGGCTGCGCAGCAGCATGCCCTCCGGACCAGCGCAGCGAATGACGAGGCTGACTCGTCTGGTCTCCAGCTTGAAGTTGGAAGGAAGGGAGATAAACTTGTCCTGCTCCACCCTGGCGTGGACTGCCGCTTCTTCCGCGGTCCATGGATGTTGGAGGAGGTCGTCATCGTCCGAGGGGCAAGAAGCCGTGCTGAGACCGTCTGCTGACTTGAGAGACGCAGAGCTGGGGGTGTTGGGCCTTCCTTGAGGGAAGAGAACGTGCTGCCAGCTGAGAGCGTCATGGAGGTCGTCAAGAGGGACGGAGATCGGCGCTAAACCGAGATGATGGGGCATGGCGGCAAGGAGCGAAGGAATAAGAGTGGACGGGTAAGGTGAGACAAGAGGAGGAGAGTCGCGTGGGAGGGGGAGGTCGGTCACCACAATGGACTATGCTCCCGCTTGCTTAGGGCAGGAAACCATCGAAGGGGGTGGACAGAGGGGGGGGAATGGGGGGAAGCCCGAAGGGGTCATATTACAACACACAAGGGGCCATATGATGAAACCAAACGATGTGTTATGGCAGCGTTTGATATCAACTTGGGAACGTTCGTTAGCGGGCAATCACGGACTCCACTTGGGCAGCCTCCTCGCCTGCTTTGTGTGTGCATCGTTCCTCGCCTACCTGCAGAGGAAACAACAAGGCCAGCATCCCTCCCCTTCATTCCCCTGTAGTCGTTTCTTGCTTCTTATCCCTCCATTTTCATCCCCCTGTACTCATCCCTTTGTTCAATTTTTCCTCTCCCTTCCACTTCCCCTTCCCCTTTACTCCCTTTCATTGCCCCATACATACCTCCCTCCGCTCCTTCGCTTCCTTGTCTCGCTTTTCCCGGCCTCTGTTGTTGCCCCGGGTCTTTCTGTGGGCATCTCATCTCGTATTCCGCTACCTCCGGCTGGGTGACATGTCGGTTGGGATTGCCGCACCATCAGTTCAGCCCCCTCAAAGCCAAAGGTCCTCCGCCTTCATCTTCGCTCCAGAAACGTGTGGGATCAAGCTTGCGACTCTTTCTTTGTCTGATAGCCAACAAGTCAACTTGTCACGCCCTTGCATTGCTTCAAAAGATCATCGAGAGCAGCGAGCGCAGAAGAGAATCCGCCGGTCAGAAGGCATTGCGTCACCGCCCTGTATCTCCCTCCCTATGAACTTCAGTTTCGAGATCTCTGCTCACAACCACGCGAAGAAAAGAAAGGGAAACGACGGCCTGCTTCTGCAGAGCCTTTGTGATGTAGCCCGGAAGGAACGGGAGAGGAAAGCCTCGTTGAGTCATCTGAAGTCATTGAGTATGCAATGAATTGTCTAGCATGACCTGGTTGTGTTCGCAACGCGCCCGCTGCAAAGAGTATGCTCATGAAGTATCCAGCGAGTAGAGCATGCCGTGTGATTGAACATGGTATACACATGCGAGCACTCCGCTCGATGGGTTCGACTCCTTAAAAAAGATGTTGAATTCATTTCAAATAGCATTAAAATGCCCAAAACTTCTTCCCAGTTATCCGGCAAAGGTAACACGGGACAAAACTGGAAAAGGTCCCTTGCAGCATGGGCTGGCTGGTGACTCAGGAATCATTCATGGACGTGGCAGTATGGAGCTATTGACCCGTAAGTTGGGCGCTTCACCTGCGCCACTTCTTGCGAGATACTTTTCGATTGCCTGATGGAGGCTTTGGAGAAGCATCCACTGCTTGCTGACGTCATCTGCTCTGAGCCTCGGCTGTCTTGGGAGGGAGATCCATCTTACATGTCTTGGGGGGGAGATCCATCTTATTCCTAGCTCTGGACGCTCATCATCTAGTGCTCCCCCCAGGCCCAGGTCAACCATTCCTGCTGCAGGTGTACTCGACTTTGCTCTTGTGCTCCTAGCCACCGCTCCTCTCTCGCTTCCGTCAGCCTCACTCCCCTCGTCGGCGATCTCGTCCTCGTCCAAGGAGCCAGCGACCAACGACTTGAGCGATGAGCAGCTTGGAGAGGGGGATACGAGCCCTGGGGCGGGGAAGAGAACGTGTTGCCAGGAGAGACTATCAGCAAGGTCTTGATCGGGGAGGGGCTGATTCAGAAGCTCTGCTTCCACCATGTTGGAAGACATTGCGACCAGGTCTTTCGAAAAGTGTCGCTGTCGTATTGATTGGGGAGGATCTGTTGATATGGGAACATCAACAGCATCCTGGTCAGGTTACCACGATACGTATCTGTTTGTTGAGATACATGGAAGATTCTCGATACTTGCAACTGAATCGGTCCCGCTAGCCGAAGCCAGTCATTATATCGCGTAAGAGAATTCCGTCTCCTTTGCGACCAGTTTTCTCCCCCAAGTCACGAGTCACCGCATTTGCAGATCCGAAACGTTGAGAAATAAGGGAATTCGAACAGTCTAGATGTCATCTCAGTTCCCCTGTCCCCCTCGTGCCCCGCTATAACATCGAGCCTTACAGTGTGCTCCTGACCCCTTCCTCCTCCTCCATGTCTGCACTCTCTCGCCCCTCCGCCGGCATTCCACAACAAGACCTCGTCTCCGATCCTGTTCCTGAGCAAGATATCGTCGACAGCCTCTCTTGGCAGCACGTCCTCTTCCCTGATGGACACCTCGCATCCCGGGCCTCCAGCTTCGCATCGCTCAAGTCGTTGGTGGAGAGCAGCTCGGAGGAAGAGGAGGATTATCAAGGTCAAGACGATCTGGCTGATGAAGGGGCGGCGGAGGGTGGAGGATCCCGCGGCCCGAGAGGAGCAGGAGGACAATCGATGTTGGACATCAGCTGTGATGACAGCACGACAGAGATCTCTGCCCGGGGCGAGGAGATCTGGATATCGCTTCCGAGGGAAGTGAGGTTGGAAGGAAGGCGACGAAGCCAGGTGGTGAAGGCTGAAGGGAAGGAGGGGATGCTGCTGGGGAGTCTGAGGGATGCCATGAAGAAAAGAGGCGTTATCTTGAAGAACGAGTGAAAAATGGACTCTATATTTGTTCATCTTTGTTGATTTTGTAAATGACAAAACTAAGATTACTTGAAGTAATGAATGCTTCTGAGGAAACTCAAGCTGTGTGCGGCATTGCATCGCCATTTTTCTGCGTTTGATTGCCAGAAGGTTTGGCTAGCTTTACGTTCCTTCAGATAAATCATTCAAAATCGTTTTGCTACAATATGGAACTCACTAGTAAATCATCATGATCAACCAGATCTTTACTCAAAGTCCATTCGTGCGAGCTCGTCCGACAGGCAGGCAGGAGGACAGACAGGCCCACCTCAAGTGTTATATACGATATTCCAGGGACAGCAAAATCATTCCGACTTCTTAACCCGCTGAGTCACTGCAAAAAAATTCCGTGACCAGTAGTGCCTGTCATGCGACAAAAACGCGCTCAGATCTGAAAAGAAATATTTTGGAAGATTTATTGCGGGAAGAAGAATCCAGAATTTATTTATGGGCCCCATACCTTCAAACGCAGTATTATGCCTGTTCACGGACTCCACCAAATTTCAAAGGATGTGATTTTTCATATAATCATTTCGTTCCGCCCCATTCCCTTCCCCCAATTCCTCGTTATTTCTCCCCTCCTCGTGAGCTTGGCCAGCACCTCCAGTCAACCACCCATGGCACATTCCGGAACCTCCAGCGATATCGCTACCGATCCTGTTCCTGAGCAAGATATCGCCGACAGCCTCTCTTGGCAGCACGTCCTCTTCCCTGATGGACACCTCGCATCCCGGGCCTCCAGCTTCGGGTCGCTCAAGTCGTTGGTGGAGAGCAGCTCGGAGGAAGAGGAAGCCGATCACGAGCACCAGGAGTTCTCTGAGACTAGCAAGTGTGAAGAACAAGGAGCGGCTCGTAATCATGGAGTCAGAGATAGCTGCATGGTTTCGTGCAGTCGGGCAGGTTACATGCATGACTGCCAGGATGGGCTAGTACAGGGGCCTCTGAAAAAGTACATCTCACTTCCAAGGAACTTCAAATTCGAAAAACGTAGACCAAGATATGCGATCAAAGTTGAAGGAGAGCAGGGAATGCTCCTAAGAGCACTAGAACATGCCATGGTAAAACGACAGGGTTTGGATCTCAATGATGTCGGAGTTAACGCGTAAATGGCTGTTTCAAGAGATATATAATCAAACATCAAGAATACCTTAAGGCTTGCTTCTGTAAAATAATTAAAGTAATGATTGACACTTTGCTCCCATCAAGTTGACATTTTCTTGTGCAACGTGATGAGATATTGCTGTTGGTGTACTCGGCTCGCCGACCTTTGCTCTTGTGCTCCTAGCCATCGCTCCTCTCTCGCTTCCGTCAGCCTCACTCCCCTCGTCGGCGATCTCGTCCTCGTCCAAGGAGCTAGCGACCAACGACTTGAGCGATGAGCAGCTTGGAGAGGGGGATACGAGCCCTGGGGCGGGGAAGAGAACGTGTTGCCAGGAGAGACTATCAGCAAGGTCTTGATCGGGGAGGGGCTGATTGATGAAACCCATTGATGAGATGATTGTTTGTTGCATCAAATGGTGATCGTTTGTCTGTGTGCTGTGTCTGAGCTGCCTTGGTCTGGCCTTGGGACATTACGTGGTAATTCAATAGAACTTCGGTAGAACTCCGCAATCATGTCCTCAGCATCCTGAGCAGTGGGGATGAAGGTAGGATCGAATCTGGTGATAAAAATCGTTTTGTCTCTTTGGACGTTGGAAGTACATCCATGAATCGAAAGGTGCTTTGCTAAGATGTAATGGTGTTTACTTGATCTCAGCCCGCACGATGGCACTCGAGACTGAGATCGCACTGGAGCTCAAGATGGAAGGCAGCCAGGAGCCCGAGGAGGCCCTGGCGTGGGAGGCCGCGCTCTTCCCGATGGGCCGCCCGCAGGCGCCCATGAGTTCCGGAAACTCCTGGTGACGCGAAGCTGGAGGCCCGGGATGCGAGGTGTCCATCAGGGAAGAGGACGTGCTGCCAAGAGAGGCTGTCGACGATATCTTGCTCAGGGACAGGATCGGAGACGAGGTCTTGTTGTGGAATGCCGGCGGAGGGGCGAGAGAGTGCAGACATGGAGGAGGAGGAAGGGGTCAGGAGCACACTGTAAGGCTCGATGCTACAATACGCGGACCTCTTGGTAACCTGCCAATCTTCATGCCCTCCCCTTCAACCCACCCCACCCGGTGACCCCCACCCCTATCTCTCTCCCCAGCCCCGCCCCGGTCCACCTTTCTAGCATCCCCCTCACTTCTCATTCCTTCGCTCCTTGCCGCCATGCCCCATCATCTCGCCGCCGATCTCCGTCCCCTTTGACGACCTCCATGACGCTCTCAGCTGGCAGCAAGTTCTCTTCCCTCAAGGAAGGCCCAACACCCCCAGCTCTGCGTCTCTCAAGTCAGCAGACGGTCTCAGCACGGCTTCTTGCCCCTCGGACGATGACGACCTCCTCCAACATCCATGGACCGCGGAAGAAGCGGCAGCCCATGCCAGAGTGGAGCAGGACAAGTTTATCTCCCTTCCTTCCAACTTCAAGCTGGAGACCATATGAGTCAGCCTCGTCATTCGCTGCGCTGGTCCGGAGGGCATGCTGCTGCGCAGCCTGGAGTCTGATGGAGGAAGTTGCTCGTTTTTCTTATGTAGATTTTGCTCAAGAGCCAGTGGATGATATCAATAAATCGAAGATCCCCAACTGTGATCCTGACTCGCTCACTTGTCCGGGCTTGGCTTCTTTTCCGGCATAAACGGAGAAGACAACTGAAGCGAAAGCATCATCATCAATCCTCCTTCAGCTGCACTTGTCACCTTGTAGATATCCTGTCGCCTCTGCAACCAATATGGCATGTTCTGGCGGCGAGAAACCACCTTGGCAAGCTTTACGTTCGCAGCAACAACATGGTCCCCTCCCAATCAACCTGCGTAAGATCCAAGTCTACCATCAAGATGTCTTCTTTCTCCTGCAGTTCACCGAGCTGGCCATTCGGATTACCCCACTGAACAAAGTCTGGAGGGGAAGAAGACCTTTTCCCCCCATGGGTCGACAATCATCGAGTGTCCCCAGGCGATGTAGTCTGCAGACTCGTCCCTTGCTGGGGAACAAACAATCCCGAAAGACTGCAGCACATGGCTCGGTTCACGACAGACATCTTCCTTACTTTCTTCACCTGGGTATCCACAGCGCGAGCCCTCAGAAGCAGCTCCCAGTGAGCGGGTCCAGTGACCATGTTGAATGCTCCTGGGTAAACGAGCATGCTACAACCTGGAGACGAACAAGTGCTCAGACGGCAGAGTGTGTCAGAGAGCACCTGACCGAGATGCCGATATAGCAGAGCAAGCTCAGGAAAGCGAATGTCATAACAAATTCCTGTCTCGTTACATCAAAAGAAATCGATAGGAAAGAAATTACTCCTACCGATTCCCATGCGAACTGGTGGCCCGCCTAATACAGCACAGAACCATGGGAAATCAAAGAATTGTAGGAGCTAGGGGAGACTCACCATGTTCAGAGAGATCTACAATGGTAGGACAATCTCCAGGCGAGAGGGTGTCAGACTCCTTGAAAGTTATCTTGCCAGGAATGTCGATGTCGAAGAGATGCACCTGAGTCATACGAACTCAACAGAGCCACATCATGTCCAAGGGGGAAACTACTTTGCGATGCCTTGCAACCATATCGCCGTCGCGGTTGAAGATGTAGCAACTGTTTTCAATCATTCAGAAAGTGAGATACACGTGCTGTTTGTTGTCGACAAAGACAAAGACAACCTGTTGTATATCTTCTCGCCCTCCTTTTCCGGGAAAGATCCTCCGACGATGAAGACCTATCGACGACGGTCACGTTGCCCTTTGCCGACCTCAACCAAAACACACACCTTATTGTCTCGAGCAGCTGTTGATAGCATAAGAGCAGTTTCTGACTGACCTAGAACATCTCATGTGAGTCGTCTCCCAAAGGCTCCAGCGACTGCGACACCACCTTCAATGACATTCTCTGCATATTCCGGGAAATATTTCGTTCCATACGGAGAGTTGAAACACTCCTGAGATGCAACAGTGACAACTTGTCGACCAGATCGTTCTAAGTGCGCCTACCGGAAGCACGATGATCTCTGCACCTTGCTTTGAAGCAGCAGCGATCTTTGCCGCAGCATTCTCAATGTTGGCCTTCTTGTTTGTACCGCATGCAAGCTGCAGACAACTACAAGAAGAAGCTTGATCACAAGATATGGATGGACAGGCTCCCCAAGATCAATACTCACGCAATCTTCAGTGTAGTTTGGAGCTCCATCGCCATTCCGTACTTGCCAGCAGTCCTGCAACAAAGGAGTCAGGTTCATTTCTTCTCAGGGAGCACGCAGATCATTCGGACACCTCAAAGCGAATTTACGCGTGTGATGCTTTTGTGGGAGCGTGAGGTCCAGGAGGACTTGAAGAAGGGCGAGGGCCAGGCGGGGAGGCTAGAGTTCGCCCCGAGGAGAGGGAGGGAAGGAAGGAGCAAGACGATTGCCTGACCAGAGGTTGTGACCGATGGATCGTAGGAGCGCTGAGAAGCAGTGATGCAGAGGGTCTGATGAAGGCAGGAGGAGGGAGGAAGCAAGATCTTGCGAGGGTCGTGCGCATGCCGCCGCGTTCACAGCCCCCTGGCAGCCATAATAGAGGCCTCTGCCGCAGTAGTTTCAAATTCTCAATCAGCTATTGCATTTTTTCGGCGCCTTGCCGCCCGGGCCGGGCCGGGCCGGGCCGGGCCGGGCCGGGCCGGGCCGGGCCGGGCCGGGGCCTGACTTGCCGGCAGTAATAAATCATGGAAGTAGTGAGATCCAGGCCAACAAGCTAGCCGCCGGGAAGATTTGTTATATGCTGTATGGTAGGGGTAGTATGAAATTGTAGGTAGGGGTATTGAAGTGACCCGTACCTTCAGGTATCTTTCAAGCTAAATCTAACCCCTCCTCTCTACCATATGCTCAGATCGTAATCAAGGGTGGTCAATTGACGGGTAGTCAGTACTGTAGGCGTATGGAGTTTGTCCGAAGAGCCGATGGCGGTGTTGGCCTAAGAGGAGGAAGCGAGGGAGGGAAAGGAGGGAGAGGAGGAAGAAGAGGGACGTAGACGAGGGAGAGGAGGGCGGGAGAAGAGGGAGCAGATTGATTGAGAGGAGGGAGAGGAGAGAGGAGAGGAGGAGGAGGGGCAAGAAAGGCAGTGAGGAAGTGAGAGAGAGCTGCTGTTCGAATGGGTGAAGGTTGGAAGGGGATTGGCGGGATTGGGAGGGAAAGAACGAATGAGGTCCTGCGGTACTCTGACGAGGACGGTTCACAGGAGGCATGCAAGCAGCATTGCAGAAGAAGATCGAACGACGGAAGAAGAAGGTTGAGAAGTCGGGCCAGGAGAATCAAGTCAGCAAGGAGCCCGATCATGCTGAAAGCTCCCTTGAGAAGGTGGTAGACAAACAGATCACCTCTGAGAACGAACCAGTCTCTCAGCCCGAGGTTGTTGACGAAAATGTCGCGCCGCCGTCGGAATCTGCCGGAGATGTACAGCCGGACAATCATGCTGTGAACGCTGCCGACAAGGACAGAGTCGCAGAAAATGCTCAAACTGCAGGCGATCAAAGCTCTTGTGCGAACGAGGTCGATGACACGCGGGAGGATGTTTCCTCTGCACAGGACGTCAGGGAGGAGCCTGAGGCAGAGATCGAGCACGAAAGAGCCCAAGAAGCGCAACCTGAGGTGGAAGCCGGCAAGACGACCATGTATGCCGAGGCGAAAGAGACAGCGGTGGAGACAGCACATGAGCAGAGAGAGGAGGGAAAGCTTCCCTTGAAGAAACGTGATCATAACAAGCCAAAGACCTCGACCAACATCCCAGCAAGCCAATCAAACAAGCTTGATGCGGAACTGGAGGTGTTGGTTCGCCGAGGGAAGAGACGTCGCTGACTCCTTCGCTCAGTCCAAACTTGCTGCACGCCGCAAGAAAGCGGAAACTCCGGAGGCGCGGGAAGCGCAGGGAGGTCTGCGCACTGGCTCTTTGGTATGAGAGTCGTTAACCGTGAACGTTGACTTAGAGACTTCCTCGTCACCGCCGAAGGATGCAGCGACGGAAGGCAAGCAGACGCTGATTGAGTTTCTCAAGAAGAACGGCGAGATCGAGCTAGAAGCTGTAGACAAGGACGAGAGAGAAAGTCCCTCCAAGTCAAGTAAGACAGTCTCTCTATCGTTCACGATCCTGAAAAGGAGTGTTTTCCAGTAAGCAAAGCTGCAAACACGACAAAATGTACGAGCCACATCTTGCGCAACTCTCGCAATCGTGCATGGAAGTCTGATGATGGTTTCGTCAGTTTCGTCAAAGAACCTCGGAGGTGATCAACAGGAGCTTGTTGACTACTCGCACTTGCTCATAGGACATGGTATGAACCCTTGCAGAAAATGCACACAATTGCTGCGAGGCATCACTATAGATGTGAACGCTCACTGCAGATGTGAACGGAATGCTGTCATATCTGCAAGACTCGATGGCAGGTCGGTTGGCTATCGTGTGCCACTGGCCAGACTCAGTGTTAACATCCATTGAACAGGTGAAGCGAATCTCCAAGACACCAATATGACAGTCGACGACATCCTGAGGGATCTTGAGGTGAGCGAGGTCCTGAACAACGATGAATTGGGGTAAGGAATCAATCTCAACAGGACCATGGAGTCCTTGGGCAGAGCGATCTGCTACAAGAGGAGACTGAGGCAGACGTTTCCGAGCTCCATGCTAATGAAAGCAACGGCCCGGAGGTGCCTGTCATGTGGAGCAACACCGCCTCCGAGGTGCAGAGGAGGAACAACGAGTGCATGGTGAGGAACTTGGAGGATGGGGAACTTTCGTTTCTGATGCTATCATGGTCATGGAAGGAGTCGGGAGAGTTCAAACTGGAGGAATACAACTTCCGTGTAAGCCACCCGGTGACGTCGAGCAATCGCACAGTCGACAAGACAGAGGTGAGCAGGTCGAGGGTCACTGTTGGAACTCAACGGTGTCGCAGGAATACGACGGTCCTCCCTGCGGCGTTGGGATCGTTCTGCGCAGCAGCTCTCGGGACCTCCAGGGGACTTTCAGGACTCACAGGAGATGGTTCTGCCTTCTTGCCGCTCCCTCGAACCTGGCTCATGACTGCTGGGTAGGGTCGTCGAAGTTGAATCCGTGGTGCCCGGGAGCGCGGCGGACAAGAGCGACAAGATATTCCCGGGAGATGTGCTGCTCTCAGTGAAGAATGCCGGGGATAAGGTGAAGAGCCTCATTCGTTCCCTCGCCTTCCTCAGCTGGACTTGGCCAGGTTGCCACTGCTGTGTCGAACAGGCTGGAAGGCGCAAAGTCCTTGATAGTCGGGCCGCCCGGCAGCATCGTCGTTCTCAAGATGACGAGGGGCAGGAACATCAAGGATTACATGCAGAGCTCCTTCGACGTGGCGTTGCGACGAGAGCTGCTCATGCCGGTGCCCCAGGAGGAGGAGGGACGTTCGCCAGGCAGCGATGACAAGCAGATCAGCAACTTGAGGCTTCCGGTCTGACCCTCTAGCTGCGGCTTCGCCTGCTGATGCTGCTGTGCAGGACCCGAGGGAGAAGCTCGAGAGCATCAACGGGCTTCTCTTCTCCAACTTGTCCGACCGTGAAGTCCAGAAACTCTTGTGCGGCCCGCAGGACTCATACGTGGAGGTTGGAGGATGCGCCTGCTGCCTTGACGCTGAGACCTCAAGTGGCAGGTGACGGTCAAGAGAGCGGACGGCACATCCAGGAGGGTGAATATCAAGCGCCAGCCGCCAGCATGCTCGGTCAAGTTCATCAAGGACCTTCTCCTGTCCAATGCAGCTTCTCCTCCAAGGCCGAAGCAGCAAGCCCCTCCTGGTCCTCAGCAGCCGACCCTGTTGGGATCTCGCACTCTCGCTCGCTTCAACACTGCGCTGGTGCAGAACCTGACTTCGAGCAGAACGAAGCTGATGGGGTCGGTGGGCGAGAGAGTCTCCGGGCTGTGGAGCAGCTTCTCCGATCAGCATAATAATGAGGACAACAGCAAGGAGCAGGAGCAGCCAGAGAAGCCAGCAGAAGACAAGCATCCTCCTTCTGCGGCTCCTTCGTTGCAACAAGAGAACTTGAACTTGTCGTCGAGGCATGAGAAGGAATCTGACGATGCGAAGCTGCTTGAAGATCGTCAGCAGCAGCAGGGAGGGAGGAAGGAAGATGAAGCGACTGGCAGCACCGGTGACCACCTGGAGGACCTTGACGTTCAGCCACTGAGAGGTGCTTTTGGTCCTCTGATCCCATAAAATAAGTCTGTTTGCAGATTTCCTCAAGAAGCACCATCTCGAATCTCTGCTTCCGCGTCTCGTGAACGAGCTTGGAGTGACTTGCCTCGAGGACGTGTATGAGTTCGTCGATGAGAATCTTGTGCGCTCCGAACCATCTCCTTTTCGATCCCCATCCCTGTCCCCATCCTCCTCCTCCTCCCAATCCTCCTCCTTCTCCCAATCTTTCTCCTCCTCCCAATCCTCCTCCTCCTCCCAATCCTCCTCCTCCTCCCAATCCTCCTCCCCCCCTGCCCCCCCCTCTTCCTCCTCCCCGAGATCCGAATACCAGAAACTTCAGGGCGGGGGTCCATTGATGGTCACCTGAATGGTTGGCCTTCTGGTGATTAAAAACTTGGAAGATACAATGATTGCTTTGTCTTGTTAATCTGACCCATACCTGGGGAAGTATCCGTTATCCGCTGCTTGTATGTTTATCTGCCATGGCCTCTCTCTGCCTTTATCCTTCCACAGTGCTGAGACAGGGAGGGACAGGTGACCACTCCGTTACGAGATCCATATGCTCATTCTGGTTAGAACTGCCTGATACAGAATCGAACACAAGAGGAGCTTGGGTATAATTCTGCGGAATCAAGGGTGCTATCTGGCTGTGAATTGCACGTGCATTACTCC